TGCTCTGGGGATAGGTTTGTTGCAGCCTTTTGGGCCTTTCTTTTTTCTTGAAAGCTTGACCAGGTGTGATTCCTTACTGTGCTGCATACTCCAATATGGGCCTGACATACGTATATTGTTTGTTTGTGTGTGCGTGTGTGCGTGCGTGTACAATCTCACCTGTATGTGGTTGCAGGGGTTGAGTCACATACCCTTGGCAGGGTAGGAAGCAAGCATGCGTATTCATGTGTGTGTGTGTGTGTGTGTGTGTAGTGTGTGTGTGTGTGTGTGTGTGTGTGTGTGTGTGTGTGTGTTTGTTTTTATTTCCATGGGGAAGTGGAGAAGAACCCTTCCTCCATAAGCCATGCATGTCATAACCCCTTCTCCTGTATAAATTTCTAAATATAAAAAAAAGGAAAACCTTAGTTTCTTCTTTTTTTGGTCATTCTGCCTCAGTGGGAGATGGCTGGTGTGTTAAAAAAAAATGTATGTATGTATATTTACATGGTGCATAAGACCCAAGATGCTCACCTGAAATAAATCAGGTTGCACCTCACTTTAATTAAGCCTGCAAAAATTAAGTCACTAACCAATGTTCTGTCTGTTACCCATACATTTTTCAACTGACTTGAGAGAATGTTTAAGGGTTAACTTTTTTGATACTGTACATGTTAAATTACTAGATTCTGAGTAAAGGATTTGACCAAAATTGTACCTTTAGCATTATGGTATATCAACTCATGGCAATATCAGTACTGTAATTAGCAAACTATATCACTTGATATATCATATTTAATTAAATAAGAAAATAAGGAATAATTTTAACTTCAACAATTGTTTAGGCTACAATTTCAAAGTGACTCACACTCCACTTTCTACCAAGTGATGTTTACAGTGATCACAAGCTCTGCAGTCAGGAAATTACTGCAATAAATACTTTCTTTTATCACAGTCTTTCTTATATTTTAGAACATACATTTCTTTGGAGAATTCACATACAAAAATTTCCTAATTATACATCAATACATTGAAACAAAGAAATACCATACATATGAACATATTTCAGTAAAAAAAATAACATGCACATTAATACACTGAAACAAAAATATGCATGTTGTTTGAACGAGTAAAAAATATCAAAATTTATTCTTTTGGAATTCACAAAAATAAAATATTGTCCAATAATTATCTTAACAATTGGAAAAATTCGTTGGGCCTTTATAATATAAAGTACAACACAAAAAAACTAAGTTAAATATCATTAGTACTACAACACAGTTTCTTTATTATTTATCAGTTTAATAATCTCACTGGGCATATGCATTAATTTAAATTTAAATAAAATAAAAGATTTCTTCAGTTATAAGAAAAAATAGTGGAGATTGAAATAGTTACAACTACAGCATCTACTATCTAGCACCACTACAGGAAGGATGAAATCAGAACATATTAAATTTGGCTGAAGTAAATCTTGATTTATTTGAGCATTTGAATTGTTGTGCATGTGTTATATAGTGTGGTGGAGGGAGTGGGGGAAAGGGGAGAGCCTGGGAAGATGCTGGAGCACTGTAATCAAAAGTACCCAGGCTGGGGGTTACTGATAGGTCTGTGTGACTTTCTAATGCATGCAGACTTATTCCTTGTTTACCTCCTCTTTTGTCTCTCTCAATATGGCTAGAATCAGTGAGGGCCTCAGTCTCCAGTGTTCTGAAAGTTGTTCTAATTGTATCTGTCTCCCCAATTTGTGAGTAATGATCATCTTGTGAAGCAGGAACCATGACCATTGTGTCTGAATTCTGGTTCAGACTAAAGGGTTCTACAACTACCTGGTTATTTTGAGCCACTGGACCATAGGGAGCTGCAGCTGATAATGGAAGTGTGTGGAGCTCACTAGCAGAAACAAGAGAGACTGCTTGAAAAAGTATTTTCCTGAGGGAACTGAAATGTAGAAGGTATGAGCTGAATGATCTGTGAATCTGCAACTGCAATGAGGTGCCCCTGTTCTGAATTAGAGCTCTCACCCATTAGAATAATGCTTTCCTGTGCTGGGAGAAGCACGTCAAAGCACTTTTTACTGAAGTTTCTGTTTGTATTACTGGGGATAAGAAGAATTAGACACAGATACAAATTCAAATTCTTCACCATCTGAAAATTCTGTAGGACGTGTTGGATCTTGCCTGTCAAAAGATTGTTCTGTATTGTTTTTGTTTCCTCAGTCCGCATGAACTTTTTCACTGCTCTTGATTTTAAGATTTCATTGTGTGCTGAGAAAATATGTCGTTTTAAATGAGAGAGTCTCTTATAGCTTGCTCCGCAGTGACACTGATATGGCCTGTCATCAGAATGCGTGCGAGAATGACGTGCTAAGGAAGATTTATTCTTAAAACTTTTATTACACTGAGAGCACTTGAAGTTGCGTTCATCTGAGTGTACGAAGCTGTGATGATCCTTAAGGGTAGCAAGCGTGTGAAAAGAACTGCCACATACCTCACACATGAAATTTAAACGACTCTCTAAATGGAGCTCCATGTGTCTTTCAAAAACATGATTACGTTTTGTCTTGTATTCACAATGAGGGCAACTCCAGATAATACCAACCTCATGTGCTAAACGACTATGCTTTGACAGCATATGTCTTGTAGGCAACTTGATTCCACAATATTCACAAACAAAAGCAAAATTTTGTTTGAGATCATATGCATGATCTTTTTGCAAATTATTGGTGAGAAGCATATGCTCATGTATAGTACTGCTCATGTGCTTGCGAAGGCTCCGCCTATGACTGAACTGCTTGTTGCACAGACGACACTCCAGAGGCTTCACACCTGCAACACAGCAAATATATATATAATGCAATAACTAATATACATGTATAGTTGTTATTGCTTAAAAAATTAGAGAAATATTAAAAAAAAAAAAAAAAAAAAAAAAAAAAGTCTCATAATACCTAATGGTGAACAGTGCCCATATATCCAGTGTCATATCACTTGCTGATATAAAATGCTCTGAAAATCATTACTTTGGAATTTAACCCTTTGAGGGTCCGTCCCGTAGATCTACGGCTTTACGTTCAGGGTCCAAACCGTAGATCTACGTCATGAGCTCAGCTCACTCTGATAAACTGTGAGTGGTACATTTGGGCCTAGATATGAGAGAATACATCTATGTGGTATGTGTGCACCACATAAAACAGATCCTGCGCACGTTGTGTAATGGAAGGAAAAAAAATGAAATCATGATTTTTCTATTAAAACAGCGGACTTTGCAGTGTTTTTTCATATGTTTTTTATAGTTCTATTTGCGATTCTTGGTCTCATTTGATAGAATGGAAGACATATTACAGAAATTAGAGATGATTTTGATTGGTTTTAGCACTGGAAATGGCTTGAAACTGAGCTCAAAGTAGCAGAAATGTTAAATTTTTGCCGATATTCAAGAGTAAACAAACGACCTCCACACGTCTAATACCCGCCAGCTGGTGGGTCTAATATGCATTCACAAAAATGGTGATGATATTTATACAATTATTACAGTATTGCATAACAGTAAATCTCCTATTTTTTAGTGTGAATAAAAATTCATTATGTGAATAAAAAATCAAAATGGAATTTATTGTAAAGCCTCAAAACATAACTAATGAACAAAAGGAAATGTTAGTTTTTGTTCCAGGAATACCTACATTGTTTATTCTGGACCCTATTTTGAAATTGGAATATTTTGAACTTTGTGTTAAATTGGCCAAATTAACCCAATTTCCGATCACTTTAATTTGTAGTTTGAAACAGTTGACTTGGCGATTTCTTGTGCTCAATTGATAGAATAGAAGTAATACTAGTGAAATAGCTAAGAATTTGGTTGACTGGAATAATGTAATGTGGCCTAAAAATTGGAGTCGAAAGGTTGGTCAAAATGCCGATTCGTAAATATTCAGATCACATCAAAATTCGCGAGAGGCATAATTTCGTAAATTTTTCCCATCAAATTTCCTCGGTACTTTTTGTTTTAATTGCCTTTACAAAAAGGTGTCTCTAATACCCATTTACATAGAAACAATAAAATTTTTTTTTTTTGTAGAAATTCTTGGACACTGGGGCAACCACTTGTGCAGATTTGGCCTTGGACCCTGAAGGGTTTAAATAAGGATGGGAACTCAGAAGCAAAATAATCCACAAAGTTAAACTTGGCTGTTGACAAAATATAATGAAATTGATGAGAGCAAATCAGCTACAATACTTTTTTGATGGTTAGTAAATCCTTTCATAATGTGTGGATTAACCATTCATTAAAATTAGCAATTAACATAAAACAGTGTTAGGCAAAGTGAAAAACAAATAGGAAAAGTAGGGGACATTAGGTCTACAGCTTCCAAATTTTGGCCAAACAAACTGGTTTATTACTGACTATGTAGAAATTTCCTTACATGTATAATTTACCTATACAGTGGGACCCCCCCGGCAAACGATATTAAATCCATTCTGAAGAGCTCATTGTATGCAGAAATTATCATAAGGGGCGAATTAATTTCCCCAAAGGGTTTCTAACCAGTATTCCCTGGAACGCTTGGAGGGAGAGATACAGATTATATACACCTGGATAAATCCTAGAGGGACTAGTACCGAACTTGCATCCACGAAAATCACTCCTACGAAGCAAAGACTTGGCAGACGATGCACCATCCACCCCAATTGAAAAGCAGGGGTGGTCACTAGCACTTAAGAGACCATACAATAAGTGTCAGGGGCGCCGAGACTAGTTCAACTGCCTCCCAGCACACATAAGGTGGATTACCAACAGACCCCTGGCAGTACTTCAATGCTGGACTGTGGACAAGCACCTACAGTCCAGTTCCTGATCACCGGGCAGTGGCTCATACTTGGTTTGCGAGCACCAGCAGCAACAGATGCCTGGAATGATCAGGCGCTGATCCACCAGGAGGCATGGTCACAGACTCGGGCCGCGGGGGCGTTGACCCCCGAAACACTCTCCAGGTAAAACTCCAAGCAGGTAATAAAAATAATGAAATCAAAAAAATCTGTCAGAGACACCACAAAGTATGAGAAATTTTTTATTATTTAAATATACCAATGAGAATATTAATTTTAAAAAAAACCCTTTCAGGTTCCGTACCCTTAATCTACGGCTGGGTCGGTGAGTGTGCCAAACCATAGATCTACGCCAAAATTCTAAGCGCCCGGGCAAATTTAGCGCGAAAGCGCTCATAGGCCTACAAAAGAGAGAATGGTTCTGTGCCGAGGTGTGCGCCAAAAACAAAAAATCTAGGCGCCTGCATAGCATTGTGGAACGCCGGCTCAGTCACATCCTTGTTCACCATGCCTCGTCGCAAGTCAGCTCTCACTCTCCCCCTTCTCACTCCCCCGGAAAATTGGGACTTCTCCTCTTCCTGTCTGATAGTTTTCTGACACTGATGGAGAGTGGAAATGAAGACGAATTTCGTACGGCTTTGATAATGTTAGTGAACCCGAAAAAATATGACCAGGATATCGATAAAAGTGCAGATAAACCCCCGACGATCCTCGACCTTCTACTCAGGTGTGGGCGACTCGTGACTCACCGTCGGTGTTCCTAAACGTAAGAGAAAACACTATTTTCCCGTGGCTGGCCTCTGACCTTACAGTAATGACGAATGATTCTGACGTGGGAGCTTATGATTTTATTGCGCTCGACGATCATTCGAGGTAGGTGATAGTGAGGTGAAACATATTCACCATTGAAGCGTCAAAAATGTCGCAGCGGCCGCATGCGCTCCGGGTAGTGTACCCTATGCGTGCCCAGTGGAGCGGAGTACAGATCCCGGAGGTACATCCCCGTGGCCCTACACCAAACCGTTTTAGGTATGATAGTGAGGAAGATGTGCACACTTGGCATGGAATGGGCCACGACATCAGTGGATGGTGTAAGTGGGTCTGGTGGTTGGTAGTGGCAAACCGCCATGCGGGACTCGCTGTGCACGCGGGAACCCACGCGCTGACTGTCGTCAGTTCAAGACAAAGCGGAGCGTCACCGCACCAGCCCGCCACAAACCACCCGTACAACCAGCCTATGATGTCCAGTATCCACCAGCAAACCGTATCTGGGATTGGCAGCAAAATCCAATTTTTTTCCCAGCCCCCACATCACCACTTTGATGACTCGCAAAGTGAACTCTAACCTACCTGATCCCCTTGGAAACCGACAGCCAATGAACTGGAATTCTCTTGAATTATTCTTTGACCAGCCAATGATGGAAATTAATGTCAGGGAAAGTAATAAGTAATTTCAGTACAAAACATGGCAAATACGATCTTATTCACCACAGTCAAGACTAACAGGTGGAAAGAGACGACTGTTGCAGAAATGTATTTGCTTTTTGCAACAAAAATGCTTTATGCCTCACGGCTATACCGCATAAATAAAAGCATACTATTGAGCGCGCGCGAGATCGGCTAATTTGTACCTCCCCTCCTTCAGTGAAATAATACCAGTGTCCAAGGTTTATCTTACCAGGTTACGTATGTTTGCACCTTCTCTGACAAAACCAGGCCTGACAGAAGTGACAGGTTATACAAGATTAGGAAATTTTTACATGTATCTCAAACGAAAAAGTTCAGGATATACTTTTATCCATTCAAGAATCTTTGGTAATTGACGAGTCTTTGATATTTGTTCAAAGGTATACTGGTCATTTCAAGCAGTATATACCGAGCAAGAGGAACGCTTTGGAAAAAAATGATTGTACTGACTCTCTGTGATTGGTGACAGTGGCCTGGTGTTGGATTATTGTGTTTATACACGGTAGTTAAAACAATGAAAGAGTACCAAAGATTGGTACAGTGGTATATCAGCTGACGTAGTGAGAACCATGTATGGCACGCTAATCTTGGTAAGGGGCCGATCACAATAATAGAGCAGGATAGACTGGTACACGCTGCTGCACCGAGAGTACACAGTGATTCATGCAGTGAAGCAAGTACAGATGTGTGTGGCACAGTGCGTTCTAATCATAAGGACTTGATGCCCAGGGACACAGGTACACACACTCAACGCGCGTTTCCCCAGGTGTTCCGTGGTGATGACGTGCAGGTGTTAACTGCCAATGACATCATGGCATTACGGTGGCATTACAACGAGATGTCACATTGTTGACAACCATTCACCGTAATGAAATGCTAAGACAGTGGCAAAGTTGATCGGGTGAGACCAATGACCGTATTCGAAAACCATGACATTGATTGATTATACACAAAACATGCGCTGGTTGACAAGTGGACATGCAGATATTGGTTTGTTGACTGTGTTCGTAAGAGTTACAAGTGTACATGAAACTTTTCTTTCCATCTCATGGACATTTCAAGTTCTGGAATGCATAGAATATGTACCAAATAAAGACTGGTAACATACCACCATATGGTGAATTTTGTTTGTCTGTTAAAAATAAGAAAAAGTTTTGGAGTGAGATAACAAGATAAAGGAATCCTAGAGAACAACTTGATTTGTCAGTTAAAAATAGAGAGGAGAGTTTAGTTAAATAGGAGGAGTAAGAGGTATTGGGAAGATGAAGCGAATATTTTGAGCATTGTTAAATGTTGATGAAGATCGGTAAGCTGTGATTTCGTGTATAGGGCAAGGAGAAATAACAACTTGATAGGAGTGAGGAAAGAGCAGTTGTGAAGTGGGGAAGTTCAGAGGCAGTAGTGTAAAATATGAAAGGGGGTAAGGCAGCCGGGATTAGATTGATAAAGGTATAGACATGTTAAAAAAGCCAGTGGGATAGTAGTTTTGGAGTGGTGGTGCAATTATTTAAGAAATGTATGGAAGAGGGTAAGGT